GCAATTCGTTTTTTCTCATGGGTGATAGCAGGTGTTGGATAACAATTTTTATTTTGTTTAGATATACGCAATATATATCAACTCCCTGTTGAAGAATTGCAATAAACATGTATTTTCAGTAGCATATTTGTGCATCTACAGCTGAATGTGTTTTATAATCAATAGAGAACACACCTATAAATTTGATGTTAATATTTACTTTTAATAAATGCATTACTAGTAAAAATTGCAGTGCTTCATTTTGCAGTAAAGCTGAACTGTTTGGTTAAGATAATTTTGTGTTTGGATGGCTGTGCTAATTGTTTTGAGAACAAGTATATTGCATTGGAGAAAAGTGTCAAATCGATTGAAAGTAACTGTATTAAATACTACATAAATAATACTAAAATAACACTTTAAATGATTAGCATTATAAATAACCCCAAAACCATAATTAAAAATATATAATGAAAGCTAAAATAATTAATTATTTAGAAAAAATTATTTATAATGAATGAATAAATAAGCATAAAACCAAGATGAAAGCAATTTTGTTTGTTTAGGTAAGATATATGACACCTTTAAAAAGAATCAAATATTGTGCTTGAAGAATGTTTGATCATGATGGGTAATTGTTTAATTGCATTTACATACTGTTACTTGTAGCATGAATATACTGCATCTGACATATTGTATGTCTCAAGTCCTGTGCATACCAGTTTGGAAGTTTGGTTCCTAAATAAATAGGGCCATAACCATAAGTTCTCCTTTTGTAGGAGCGTATCTGGTTCCCTACCTCATTCTGCTGGTGGTGATAGGGATTCCCCTCTTCTTCCTGGAGCTAGCAGTGGGCCAGCGCATCCGAAGAGGCAGTATTGGGGTGTGGAACTACATCAGCCCACGTCTGGGTGGCATCGGCTTCGCCAGCTGTTTGGTGAATATCAGTGCTTTCATAAGGACGTACCATACTTCAAGTGCACTGTATAACAATAGCCAAAGTCGGATACTGTCTTTGCTCAAGAGAAAGGCAACTAATTAAAGCATTTAAAGAGTCTATGCTGTAGCCCATACATTTGACTGCATTCTCTGTTATTGCAGGTGTGCTTTTTTGTGGCTCTTTACTACAATGTCATCATCGGTTGGAGTCTCTTCTACTTCTCACAATCCTTCCAGCAGCCTCTTCCTTGGCACGAGTGTCCCCTGGTCAAAAACAAAACTAATACATGTAAGACAACTTAAAGAAGAACAGGAAATCACACTTTGAATTTTTAAAATCCATTAATTTAGGCAGAAGCTACACATTTTCATTTACTGAACAACTTTTCTGATCAGTCTTATGATGCTGTACAAGATTGTAAGTTTCATGTTATTGTTTAGATGTTGAACCAGAGTGTGAGAAAAGTTCAGCCACTACATACTACTGGTATCGTGTGGCCTTGGACATCTCTGATTCCATCTCTGAGAGTGGAGAACTTAACTGGAGGATGACTTTGTGCCTGTTGGCTGCTTGGACCATGGTGTGTCTTGCTATGATGAAGGGTATCCAGTCTTCTGGAAAGGTAAGAAAAGTGTTTTGTATTTTGTTCTAAGAAAGTTTGCCTTTGGTCACACAGTAAATGTCAGCTAAGACCTCAAGGGATGTCTTAAAAGCAACACAGAGAGAAACACTGACCTTCAGACTGATCCTTCCTATGTCAGAGAGAACCATTGGCCTCTCATGTGATCCATGCCTGCATGACATTGTGAAACGTGATGCAGCATCATACGGATAAGACCACATGTGGTACTCTGGCATCTGTGTGCTTCTGAACCAGCTCACTTTAGACAGCTGACGGTTTTCTCAAATCATGAGAGTACTGAAACCTTCTTAAAGGAATAGTTCACACAAAAATGAAAATGTGCTTAAAATGTACACGCCCTCAGGCCATCCAAGATGTAGATGAGTTTGTTTCTTCATCAGAACAGATTTAGAGAAATTTAGCACTTGTTTACCAATGGATCCTCTGCAGTGAATGGGTGCCATCAGAATGAGAGTCCAAACAGCTGATAAAAGCATCAAATTAATCCAAAAGTAATCCACACAACTTAAATCCATCACTTAACATCTTGTGAAGTAAAAATCTGTGAGTTTCTAAGAAACAAATCCATGTATGGTAATGCTAAGCGTTAAATGCTAAATTTCTACAAATACTTCTTCATATCTGTTCTGTTGAAGAAACATCTTGGATGGCTGGAGGGTGAGAATTTTCAGCATATTTTAATTTTTGGGTGAACTATTCCTTTAAAAGGAAGTTAAAACAACAGGTCGAGGGGGTTAATTTTTTTAAGCATAATTTTTTACAATGGCCCCATACTGCACAACACAACAAAAACAAGCCACAACACAACAAAATTAGCACAACACAATGGAAACAAACCACAACACAAAAAAATTACAACACAATGGAAACAAGCCACAACACAATGGAAACAAGCCACAATCCCCAAAAATTACAACAACACAATGGAAATGAGCCACAACACAACAAAATTAGCAGCGGAAACAAGCCGCAACGCAATAAAATGAGCACAACACAATGTAAACGAGCCACAACACAATATAATTAGCACAACACAATGGAAACAAGTCACAACACAGCGAAAACAAGCTACAACGCAACAAAATTAGCACCACACAATGGAAACAAGTTGCAACATAATGAAATTAGCACAACACAATGGAAACAAGCCGCAACACAACGAAACTGGTCCTATGCGTTGTGTTGTGGCAATTTTGTTGTGTTGTGAAGATTCAGTTGTGTTGTGCACTACTGGTCCACCATACTTTTTACATATTTTTAAAGTGTATATGTTAAAAGAAAACATAAAATGGTTCAGCAACTACACAAAAAATACTTTAAATAGTGCACTAAATTTATGTTTGCTCATGATAGATAATAAAGGTTTCTGATAAACATTTAATTTATTCCCAGCTAAAGGGATAGCAGATGGATTCCTACTGTTTAAGTGTGGCCCCTCAGTCAGTAAGGATATTATGGTATAGGATATAGTATACTATGCAGGGGATAAGGTCAGTCTTTGAAGCTTAATCTTGGATTTACCTCACAAAGGAATACCAATGTCTCATTCAACATTCCCAGAAAAAATCCCACAGTGCCATTCTTTTTTCTTTTTTGTCATTTTGTGTGCACAAATAGCATGGCAATGCTGGTTGCCATGCTTTTATGTGCACCATCTCCATTCACAGTTCTGTGGCACAGCACCAAATAACCATACTCGGCTACAATTATTGGTGATTGAGGATACTGTACTGTAGAATTAGAGCTGTGTCTGCAGGAAGAGGGGTTGATTGATTTAACGGATCTTTGTAAATCCTTCATGATGCTTCATTTTTGGGAAGCCACAGAGAATGTGTATCTTTTAATCTTCGAAGCTGTGGGATAGTTAAACGTTAGGCTTTGTTCTTACTCTTTAAGGCTGGTCCGCCCTTGATGAATCAGAAATGAGTCAGTAGCCTTTTCAGCATCATGGCCATACAGTAAAAGCAAGATCAAAGAAAGCCAATAATGTCAATCATCTAAGTAATTATTTCTGTTTAATTTAAAAAGTGCTTTTCAACTTAAATTAGCTTGTTGAACCTACGTTAATATGTGAATGCCACATTACATGTCAGAGCATGACTCTAGCAATGCCAAAGTCATGGGTTCAATTCCCAGGGAACTGATCAAATGCAATGTAAATCACTTTAAATAAAAATGTCTGGCAAATGCATAAATGTGAGTGTAGAACAGCGTTTACTGTGTCATCATAAACATGGTCTGTCCATTATTGTAAAAGCTTTCATGATCAACTAAATTATGACATAATTCATAATTGATAGGCAAAAACCTATCTCAGGGAAAATACCCAATAAAAAAAACTAATGATATGCACCCATTTAAAATGTGTCCATAAAACAAATTATACATGGGCTTTAAGGATTAAGCTAGTTATTAAGTGCTGACATTATAATTCTTGTTAAGCAGAAAATTATGAAATTATGTTTGGGGTGTGACTGCATGACTTTAGTAAACTCTTAAAAAGAGAAGCAACCGTTCCCAGTAGCGCTGGATTCTCAGTCACACCTGGTTTATTGTAGTATATTTATTTATTCGTTTAGCAGAGGCTTTAATCCAAAGTGACTTTAAGTTAGTTATTATTATTCACTTATTTACTTCAATTTTTAAGTTAAACAAATGTATCTAATATTTCTAAATGTATCTAATAATTATAACAAGTTTTAGTTTTAATTTTAGTTAACTGTAACAGCATAGAGTCACAAATGATCTGGCAACAATGCAATAATTTAACAGCTCTATTTCTTTTGATGGACATGTTTAGAGAAAAAAATTCTCTAATTTGTCTGGCATGGTTCGGACAGACATCAAAAATAATATATCTTGACTCAAATGCATTTAGTTGCACTCTGAAAAATAAAATATCACATTTATTTGAAACCACATCCATATGCAATAGTTTTGGAAATATGTTTCAGTCTGATCGGACTGGCCAGAACAGATTTCAGAAGTCGTTTTTTAGTCAGGGATGTAACATACATCATCCACAAAGCACAGTAGTGTCTGCAGCGGTTTCACAATTCACTCATTTCTGTTTTCATTTTTTCATTTCTCATTTCGCATGTGGCATTCAGGCTAGATAGTCAGCTAATAGATGCCTTACCTACACCATCTGGCTCCAAAAAAAGCATATTTTTTTCATTAAGAGTCATTCAAAATTAGCTGCATTTTTTCACTACACTTTTTTTGAACAAACGGATCTGATTTCTTCACTTTCAAAATGATGGACTGACAAGTTGTGAAAATGTAACAAATGTAAAGGTTTGAAAAACAAATCACAATTGGATGTACTGTGAAAAAAGCCTGTCGACTCTGTCAGCAAAGTCAGCAAGTGAGGGCACTTTTCTGCCACCTATGTGTAGAAAATGATTTTACAGTTTAAGAAACAGTAGCATAGAGAAAAACATGTTCATAACAGAAGTCACTAGCCTTCTTTGTGATATTGCAGTACTACAAACTGTAAATCACATTTTACATTGACATTTTTTGATAATCTGTTTGGTTATGTCTAATTGCAGGTGATGTACTTCAGCTCTCTGTTCCCATATGTTGTGCTTATTTGTTTCCTGGCCCGTGCTTTCCTGCTCAAGGGTTCTGTTGACGGCATCATCCACATGTTTACACCAAAGGTAAGACCCTAAAGAACATGATCTGTGCATGTGTGAGCAGATGACACATTACGACAATGGTTAGACCAATTTACTCTACATGCTCTGGTTCATACAGCAGCAATTAATCCACTTTATTGAGAATTATGGTAATCATCCATTACTAATTCCCATGTGTATCCGTCGTCTCAGTCCGGTGGAGACCAATAGATGTATCTATGGAAACAATACCCCAGCCAGATTTCCCAGCATGCATTTGTGATGTGACTCGACAGAAGTGAATTAACTCTTCCATCAGCACAGACTGAAATGCAGCAGTCCGTCTTGTTGTGCCAGCTATTTTACACAATACACATCCAACGCACAGACACAAGATGTGGTCACATTTCTCCTCGGTGCAAGGGGCTATCAATGTGTCCCTTGTTGTGCTATGTGTCGCTTCAGAGTTTTATCAGTGGGTGGTTTGTGTAACACACAATTAAATGATAGTATGTAGCCTCTGCTTGTGATAATTAGAACAGAGCCATTACAAAAGCTACACTAGCTGAAATGTGGGGAGAAAAGAGACCATAATTTGTTAATTAAATGTTTTTAATTTTTCTTATTATATTAAATCCCATATTTAAGAAGATTGTAGCTTTACTTCTTTGCTATCAAGGTTGCAACTCGGTATCCGAAAAAGCTGATAGTTATATTTAAAGAGATTTTGTATTTTGTTCCAAACCTGTGAATTTCCATTATATGGACAAAAAAAAGTAATTGTTCAAAAATATCTTCTTTTATGTTCTATAAAGTCCATTAGTCATGGTGTTACATAGTATATACTATTTTAGTTTTTTTTTTTTATTAGCTTTAATTTTTATATTGTTAATTTAAATGTTTTTTTTTGTTTGTTTTTTGTTTGTTTTTTATCTTTAGATCTAATTTATTTTTATTTAAGTTTTAGTTCAGGCTTAGTTTTTATTTCCAGTAATTTTAGTGCTTCAACTTAAACTTATTTAATTTAGTAGCTAAGGTAAAATTTCTAATTTTCATTTAGTTTAAGTTCTCATATTAAGACATTTTTAATATGTTCATTCATATGTTAAAAAAATTAGCAATCAATCAATATATTGGTCTGTATGATTTAAAAAAATTGTCCACTTTGAGATTACCGCCTTCAGACATCAATCATAGCCAGATTAATACATTTTCATATGTTTTTTAGATATTTAAAGTGAAAAGCATATCACTGCATCCAATTGAGCATGTGACAAATAATAAACTACAGTATCTTCTTACAGCTGGAAATCATGCTGGAACCCAAAGTGTGGCGTGAAGCTGCCACACAGGTCTTTTTTGCTCTGGGTCTTGGTTTCGGTGGTGTTATCGCATTCTCCAGCTACAACAAGCGAGACAACAACTGCCATTTCGACGCTGTGCTGGTCTCTTTCATTAACTTCTTTACCTCAGTGTTGGCCACTCTGGTCGTGTTCGCTGTACTGGGCTTCAAAGCTAACATCATGAATGCCAAATGTGTGGAAATGTAAGTTCAAAACAAATTAACCATGACAAGCAGTTTAGTAGAATACATTCATAATAATAATAAAATACGCTTGCAGTTCATAAACCAAGTTCAAAACAAATTAACCATGACAAGCAGTTTAGTAGAATACATTCATAATAATAATAATAAAATACACTTGCAGTTCATAAACCGCATACAGATCAAATGACCTGTGGTTGACTTTCTTGTATTAATGTATCTTAGGAACACAAAGAAGATAATTGGTTTCCTTGGAAAAGAAATCAATCCAAGCTTGATCCCACACCATATTAACTTCAGTAATGTTAGCCCTGAGGACTACCAGCAAATGACCAACATTATCCGGGGCGTGATGGAAAACGATTACCCACGCCTAGGTTTAGATAGCTGCGACATCAAAGAAGAGCTGAACAAGGTGAGGAGAAGCTTAAAGTGAACCGATACACCTCGGGGAAACCTAAGAGACAACTGATATACACAAACTTTCCATGGAATACAACCCCGGTAGTTACGCTCTCACTCCAGTCATTTGTTTTGAAAGTTAATACAACACAAAGGAGCTCTATCCATCAAAATGTGTTTTTAAAAACTCATAATCCATAGTCAGCGGCTTGAATTCATTTCTTTTATGAACTCAAATTATTTTTAAATTGCCAAGGTTTTCAAATGTCAAAAGGAATAACCCCAAGAAAACATAAAATTAATGATATTTGTAAAATAAATAAATATGAAAATTTTTACACTACTGATCAGAGGTTTGGGGTCAGCACAATTAATACAAATTAATTTTTTATTAGGCAAGGATGCATTGAATTGATCAAAGGTGACAGTAAAGACTTCTGTTTGACAGTAAAGTTGTTCATTTGAACTTTCTATTCATCAAAGAATACTTAAAAATAAAAGAAATAAAAATATTAAGCAGTACTACTGTTTTCAAAATTTATAGTAATAATAAATGTTTCTTGAGCACAAAATCATCATATTAGAATGATTTTGAAGAATCATGTGAAACTCAAGACTGGAGGTATATAATATAGAGTAGACAACATTGAAAAAAAAAACTATTAAAAACGAAGTATTTTAAAAATTCAAAATACAGTTCAAAATTCTTTTTTTTATTTTAAGCTTTTAAAGGAGTTCTTCTTTCCATAATCTCAGACATCCTTATTTGTAATTGACACACAAACAAATGTCAAATGCTTTTTTTTGACCACAATAAAGTAAACTGCAGAGGAAGTAGTTTAGTGGCCAATAATGAAGGAGGCACAGAGGTTTTCTGCTGTGCTGTTATGGAAAGAGGTGTGTGGGTGATCGAGAGACACCGCATGATGAAACAAACGGAAATAAATGCGGTACGTGTTGGCTGAGGCGATGCCATAATGAGATTAACCACATACACACTTACAAGAACCGTCACAGGCTGTAGTCTTCTAGAATATGGGGCTCTTTCTTTACACAGTCACTTTACTCCTGCTGCTTTGATGCGTTTTCTTTTACTCAGATCTATTTTTTCAGTTCCTGCTAGTTTCGAGGTAAACCCTTACACTAAAACCTGAATAATTAATGCAGCAGCATCAAGCAAAATACAGCATTTTAACAGTATAGAATCAACAGATGTACATCATTGCTATAGCGGCAATCTAATGTTAATGTTTTGGCATTTAAACATCACAGTTTTAAAGACCTCAGCTATATGATTAAGTAAATGTCACTTTTCTGAATAAATATGTGATGTTTGCCAGTGCAAAACAAGTCAAGCCTTGTCCTTGTACTCGTCCAGGTCTTTACTAATCAGACATTATCTTTGTATTCATGTGTGCTTTTACATGTTTTTGAATGCATGCTAAAATCCTACCTTTATCTTTCTTCTCACAGGCTGTGCAGGGCACAGGCTTGGCCTTCATCGCCTTCACTGAAGCCATGACCCATTTCCCAGCCTCGCCCTTTTGGTCGGTCATGTTCTTCCTAATGTTGGTCAATCTGGGGCTGGGCAGCATGTTTGGCACTATCCAGGGCATCCTCACCCCCATTGTGGATACCTTCAAAGTACGAAAGGAATACCTCACAGGTCAGCCAAAGCCAAAAGTTCTTAAATCTGCTATATGGAGAAAAGGCAGCATCCTTTAGTTTGTTTGTTTGCTTACATTTCAGAATATAATAGATCTTTATTTGATCTATCTCTGAAGCCTATGGTAGATTTGCATGAATTTTTAAAGGAACACTCCACTATTTTTGAAAATAGGCTCATTGGAAAATGAGCCTATTTCCAAAAATAGTGGAGTGTTCCTTTAAGTTTAGCCGAACTATTCCTCAGGCCATGCTATAGTCCAGGGGTGGCGAGCCGCAGCCCTGCAGAGTTTTGCTTCAACCCTAATCAAACACACCTGAACAAGCTAATCAAGGTCTGAAAGGTTACTAGAAAGCTACAGGCAGGTGAGTTTTAATTAGGGTTGGAGCTGTACTCTGCAGGGCTGCGGCTCTCCAGGACCGGAGTTCACCACCCCTGCTATAGTCAGTGGTGGAAAGGTACTTTCAATGACCTGAGTCTATTCAAAAGTGAATAAATAATAACAATAATCAAATACTAATATTATGTGTAAGTCAAGACAAGAACATTCTCAAAGAAAAATTCCAATATAAAAGACTCTGTTTGCACTACCATTCAAAAGTTCAACTCTTGGTTTAATCCTCTGGATCACAAACATTATTTCTCCCTGCTTTCTTTACAGTTGGTTGCTGTGTACTTGCCTTCTGTATTGGTTTAATATTTGTCCAGCGATCAGGGAACTACTTTGTAGCCATGTTTGATGACTATTCTGCTACTCTGCCTCTCCTCATCGTTGTTCTTCTGGAGAACATTGCTGTGGCCTGGGTCTACGGCACCGACAAGTATGTTACGCAGTACGCACGCTTCCTCTATTAGAGAGCTTACAGCGCCCTCTCGTGACATGAGCGTCATATTGCTATGAAGATTATTTGTTTTCAGTTTTCAAGCCTAATTGAATTCAATTTATGATCACATACCAACCAAAGAAAATTTAAATTCTAATTAAATTATCATTAAAAAAAGGAATTACAAAAACCCTATGGACTGCTTTACAACACAATTAATTGACACATCTCTGATTGAATCATCTTGATTGAAACTCGGAGAAAAAGCCAACGTTTGTTTAGAGAGGAACACATTCCATTCAGACATTATTTTGTAGATTATTTGCTTATTTTTTATTTGATTATTTAGCTTTTACAAGACAATTAACAATTATTTTATATATTTATATTACATAGAAAATAAACTGAAATATAAATCACAATAAATTCAAATAGCAATCACAATTATTATTTACAAAAGCTTAATACAATTAACAAATCTTGAAACAAACTTAGTTCTGAATTAAGCAGCAACTCTAATCTAATTTGCAGTGATTGTGGCATTGATACATCTCTGTCTCCTGTGGGTTCATTCAGGTTCTTTGAGGATCTAAAGGACATGCTTGGTTTCACTCCATACCGCTATTATTACTATATGTGGAAGTTTATCACACCAGTGCTGCTGCTGGGTCTTCTGGCCACAAGCATCATTCATATGGGACTGTCGCCACCTAGCTACAGTGCATGGAACCAGCAACTGGTGGGTAATCTCGAATGAAGCTTGGAGAAAAGAGGCCAATATGCAATTTAAAAGCTTAATACTTTAGATACAGTATCTGAGACATGTTTTTAGCTCAAAATATGGCCATAATTTTCAGGTTTTGCTCAGAGAGGAACATACAGACTTTTTTTGTAGATTATTTCACCTAGGTGTTCTATTTTTTGTAAACATTAAACTATTTACCATTTAAAAGTCACTTATTAATTCATAATTAATACATTTTGGGTGAATTATTCCTTTAAGCCCGGGTCAGTTCTAAGGCTTTCAATACACAATTTTACCACAGGATTAAAGTGGAATTATTCCTTTGCCAGAATAATCCAATTGCTGTGTCTGTTCTCAGGCTCAAGAACAGTCTCTCAGCTATCCGCCCTGGGGCCTGGCTGTCTGCATCTCACTGGTGGTCATTGCCATCCTCCCTGTGCCTGTGGTTTTTATTCTGCGCTGTCTGAACATCATCGACGAGAACGCAGGAGGCCTGTCTACTGTCTCCTATAAAAAAGGCCGCATTATAAAAGACACTGCTTGCAGGAACAGAGAAGAGGACGAAGACGATGCAAGTCTTCTCAATGCGAAGACGCCGAGCGAAGCCCCGTCACCCATGCCAGCCAATTACCGGAAGCAGAGCAGACCTGCTTCAGGCGCAGACGTCATGCTCAACGGTAGCTGCAGCACTGGATACGTAATGCCGAATATTACAGACATTCCGGACATGCCCGAATCTGATTTGTGAGGACCTGTTTAGCCTCATCTGTAACTGTGAGGACCAGTATCATTTCATTTGCCCTGTAAGAACCTCTTCATCGAGTTCCAGACCTTGTCAATCATGATTCATTGAGTGGGAATGGAAACAGACAGCGTTCTCCTATAGACCTCTTCTAACAGCCATCTTCATTTCACACTGGTCCAGTACAAAAGTTTCAACATTTCTAATTGTAGTATATGTGTAGCTAGCGCTAACGCCCCCCACCCCCATCCCAACCCATTGCCCCAACTGTTGCACGCACTTACCCCCCTCTGTAGAGGCCTGTAGACCCCTGGTTTATGCTCTACTGTAGAATGGCTATTTGTACAAACAGATTATGTTGCAAGTCAGGGCAGTTACTGTCCACAAAAATCGAGATTAGAAGCAGTTTAGCAGCTTTGGAAAAAGTCTAGAATGTAAATGTATGCGTAAAATGTGGAAAACATGCAATACTTTTCTTTTGGATGTAGTTTAATCATTGTACACCGGTGTATGGATTGCGTTTAATACAACCTTAACTCATTGTTCGAAAATGCGTGCCTAATTCATTCTAAAAATGTTAATAGAATACAAGGCATGAATGTTGTACATTTAAGGTATTCTGTAAATATATTACGAATAAATTTACTCAAATATAGTTTGGAATACAGATCATGTTTTTGGTAAGAAGTGCTTAAAAATCCAGTACGCTGACTTTTTTGTTTGTTTGGTTGATTGTACGTTTGCTGATGTGCTATCATTGTAAAGAGTCTTGAGACTCCTCCCTCTTCCTGTAAATATTTTTTCATGAATTTGCTCAATGACGCAGTATTTCCCTTCTCAATATTGAGATTAAAAGATCAAATGATTCAGACACACTGTTTGGCTTTACTACTTTGTTGCGCTCCACAATAACGTGACCTGAAATGAAATGAGAATTAAAAAAAGACAGTACATGGAAAAATATGCACCAATATAAGCACAGATATTAAAATTCTGGCTGATGTCAATTATTTGAATTGTGTTATAACTGGCTGATTTTATTTCTAAAACGAAAATAACTATTTTGTTCAATAAATCTTAAAAATAAAACCACACACACTACAAACAACTGCAGAAATGCCACAACAGAATTTATGCATCACAACATTAACAATGCATATAATGAATCATTTTGGAGGTTTGCTAAAGAATATATTTAGTAATACGAATTTATTAGCACCTTTAAAGATGAATTTAAAGTGAGGGTTAGAGGATAGCAACGGTTTTGGCCATTATGAAAAAACAATTAGAAAAAAAATACATAGTTAAATTACCTAATAATAACTAATAAAGTACCAATATATCATGCATCCCTTTAAACAAAAAATACGTTTAACAACATAGGTGGGTTTAAAACCTTTATTGTCCATATTGTCCAATTCTGATTTGTTGAGTCATTGGAAGGTCATTTTCAACAATAAAAATCTTAAAACAGGTAGTGTCTAAAATCAATGACATGACAATTATAAAATAAACATTAAAACCTTGTGTTACGATCACATATTCAAATAAGCCTCTGCTAAAAAGCAAATGAGTGTAACTTGTCATCTTTTTGACTTTTCCCTGAATCATTTCATCTCCACATGCCCCTTTAAAATGAAAACATTTGAAAGCTAAAAGCAGTGCAAAAAACAATCATACCACTATAATGCCATTTAAGTAGAGATGATGTTCCTAGATTTCTTATTACTCTCATGACACATCTTAAGTGTTAAGGTCTATGGCTGGGCTTATACTGACTTAGCAAAGCCCACTCGGTTGTTCTCCCGATCAAACACAGTGTAGTACTGCCCAATGAACACATCACCCAGAATCCACAGGGGTCCAGCAGGGGGTGGGATATCCAGGCCCATGAATCCACTCAGACAGATCTCCTTTCCTCCCTGGCTTTCCTGTAAACACATACAAACAAACAGAGAGAGATACCGTCTTTAGAATGTTGTTGTGATTAGCAAAAATCCCTTCAGTGTTTTGCTTTCCCAATACTGGCTAGCTGCATGTGATTTACAAGAAAATAAAACTCCAGGTACATGTTTTTTTTTTATATTCTGACTCATGCATGACCTTTTCACAAACAACACCTCGATTTCACAGCTCCACTGATGCAAAGTGCTGCATCAAAGCAACAGCACATACAAGGACTGACCTTGAGTATGTACTGTTCTCCAGTCAGTGAGTAAGTCTTTCCACCCAGGACGAATGAGATGGTGGGGAGTGTGGGCACTTTCTTACAGTCCACCATATACTACAGAGAAAACATGTTTAATTAGAGAACATTATCAAAACATTATACATTTCAGTAAATAAGCTGCCATTAATAACAACACACCAAGAATGCCTACTTTGTTGACCAGTCTTGTAATAAATAAATAAATTAGTTCATTTTAAGGTCAGTAAGATAAAAAAAGAAATTATTTTATTCAGAAAGGTTGCATTACATTAAACAATGTGAGTAAAGACAATTTTAATGTCACAAAATATTTTTCATAATAATAAATGCTACAATAAATCTATTTATCAAAAAATGTATCACTGTAATGAAAAAAGAAATAATTTGAGCACCAAATCAGCATTTGGTGATTTCTGCAGAATCATGTGACACTGAAAAGTAATGGCTGCTGAAATTTCAGCTTTGTCATCACAAGAATATTAAAATAGAAAAGAGTTACTTAAAAATGTAATAATATTTCACAGTACTTCTGTTCTTACTATATTTTTGATCAAATGAATGCAGCCTTGGTGAGCATAAATGTAAAAAAGGGAACTCCAAACTTTTAAATGGTACTGTATATTTGTATTCAATTTAAAGAAATTATATAATATTTTATATTTTATTTGAATTTCACATTAATAGATATCTATTTAGGTCACAATGCTTCAGTGACGAAAATTATATGAACATTTAAAGTTGCAGTACCTCTCCCTGGATCAGAGGGATTGCACCAATAGCCTTCTGCAGGGCTTTGATTTCAGCAGCTGGGCCGGTGATCAGAGACGTTCCAGTGTCCACGATGGCTTCACATCCTCCTTTACACAGAGTCAACTCACTGCCGATGCTCATGCTACACACACATAAACACAGAGCACTGTCAACACTAGATTATTGTTACAGGGATCTTCTGCATTGGTGGTTCAGTGGTAAGATTCTTGCCTCTCACATGACAGACCAGCATATTTCATAACATATTACATATGCATGCATGCCTTCCATTTTTCAGATTAAATGAACAAGCAGTGTTTCAGAGGCACTGCAATTTTTGTGTGAAAAATTAATGTTGCCTTTACAAGCCGTTATATCTTAAAAGTTAGCATTTTCAAAACAGATACAGCTTTCATGTTAGATCTATTAACTAAAATTTTTTACTAATTAACTAAATGGAGCATCAAAAACGACAAAAAAAACAGTTGTCACTTTTATGCATTTAAGTAAAATACTGTTGCATTACACAGTACAAGGAGACAAAAATCTCACACCCATCCATGTGAATCTGCCAATAGGCCTGTCTGCTGATGGCCACGTAGTTAAAGTCTCCAGTGTAATATTTAGGGTCTGTGCCTCCAAGGAGCAACTCACCACCAGGTTGAGTGTCAGGGTTTCTGTCGGAAAAATAAAACCGGGTCATCCACAACAATCAGGCCTGAATGTTACAACTAGGCATGTCGCGATAATTAAATAACCATCTAATCGCGATTATTTGATCTAACCTTGATCTAATTATTGTGCTTTTTATACGGTACAAGGGGGAGTCATACACCAAAAGAAACAGAAGAGCACCAGTTTGCTTTTCATGCACTGTATAGCCTATATCATCTGAAACCATTCCATATCTTAATGTGAGGGACAGAATTGTATTTACATTGTTAAATTTAATTTGACAGAAATTGATCTTCCTTCTGCTGCAGCTGTCAGTCATTCTGCGCTCAGCATTCAAACAGCACGTCACGTTCAGTTATGACAGTCAGCACGGTAAAACTC